CATACCCAAGCCTGACCTCAAAATACGCTAGACAGAATGGGGCGGAGGGGCTTTGGAGCAGGGTTAGTAGGGCACCATGCCAAAGGGGTCGATACAATGCCGCTTGACCCTTCAGGTCCGAATCAACGAAGGGGGCGCAGGTTTTTTGACTTGACAAACACCTACACCTACACCTACACCTACACCTACACCTATAAGAAAACAACAAGACACAATGTCAGCAGCAGACCTCCCCAACTGCTGGTATAGCTCAAAACATTCAAACATCAGTTTCCTGCCTCGCCATGCATCCCCGTACATCCCGCGTGCATCCCATGTGCATCCCCCCTTGTGCACGTCTTTCAAGGTGATGCAGGGATGCAAGGGATGCAGCGGATAGCAGGATCTGCCCAAAGATTTTGACCCAAAAATGCTCTGGTACACACATCTGCACTGTCCCAACTGCGCCGAACGCCCCCTAGGCCTGTACAAGAAAGCCAGGAACAACAGGGCTGACTTGACGCAAAGCTTCCAAATGCATCATAGCCTTACCAACTCAACTTGGCCCCGGCCAATGCTTTTGCATCGGGTTCCATCTCATGGGTTTGTGTTGTGGATACCCTTCTTAGTTTGGAACGGGAAAACACCAGGAAACCACCCGAATGAATCAACCCCAGCTTTTGGGGCTGTGGGGAAGGATCAGGGGAACCCCAAAGCGCCTATGAAAGAAACTTGCCCCCCACATACAGTTTAAGGCCGAAGGGGTCTTGTAAAAAAGCCCTCCCACCCACACCCACACCCCGCAACTTCTAGCTGGGTTTGTCTCAAAACAGCAATCGGAACCCAACCCAAATGGGCGGTGTCCTTTTAACTTCCAATACAAGAACTATCCAAAAGGGACCTTCCCTCAAAAAACCAGAAACACGCCCACATTTCTCCGTCGATGTCTCCCCAATCCGCGGATCCCCATTCAGGACTCGTGCACACTCGACTCATCGACTCATCGACTCATCGACTCATCGACTCATCGACTACGTGGACTCGCGCCTGGCCACGGAACTCCACGGAGTTGGACTCGGCGGAAGTGAAGTCCTCTGTGGGCATCGCCCGGCGCAGCACCCACCTCACCGGGGACTTGGGGACTCGGACACTGGGCTCCCTGCAAAGGTCCCCGCTTTGTCATGTGAAGTGTTGGATTTGTTTGGAGGTTAGGGTTTTTTTTTCTTGGGGTGGGTAAGGCCCCTAGAAAGTAGCGAAAGGTATAACAGATGGCACCCAGTCTTGCTGTGTTTCGGCTCAAATTGACTGAAAATTGTGGGCTTACCTTTGCGCAATTCATTGGAAACCCTACAAACCACCGCCCCCCCCCCTTCGAGGGGAAGGGTTGACAAGCCGTATTTGGGTTGGAGGGTACCTGGTTGTATCCATTTGGCCAAAGAAAAGCATGAGGAGTCCTGGCTTCCTATATGTCCAAGAAGAGGGTTTCTCCAATCGGCCCTTTCACAAAGGTAGGCACTGGTGAAAAAGCACAGCAAGAGGACCCAATACCAACTGTCTACCCGTTTGGTTTGGTCGTTGTTTCAAGGTTCGGAAAACCTCCCGCCAAATTGACACCCACTTTGAATCGGCTCAGAAGGTGGTGATTGAAAACACCACAAAGGGAGTGTGTGTGTGTGTGTTGCTTGAGGGTACCCTTTTCGAGCCGTTTGTAGTAAGGGATATACCCTCTATGAGCATGGGTAAATTGGAGCTTCCCCTTGACTTTGTGGGAGAATTCAAGGGTCCCAATGCGCCTCTGTGACAATCAACACCCGGGATTAATGTGTTCTACCCAAAAAACACTTGTAAAGAATCAACAGCATGGCCGCACCTATTTGTGGTTGGGACTATCCCCTAACCTTCACCCGAACAGCTTCTCTCAACTGAGGGATTCAAACCTCTTGACCACTAAGATGCTCTTCGGAAAAAGGAATTGAAGTCCGGGGTTCCCTATTTCACACATGGGAGCGGTTTTTTTGAAGGACCCGCTTTTGGTGGTGTTTGAAGGAAAACCGCCCATTTTTGTTTGTTGTTGTTGGGGAGGGTCCCCAAAAAACCTGACACACGCACCCACCTACCCGTCAAACCTTCCTCCCCTTGGGCCGAGTCGCTGGGTGTTGGAACCGCAGGCCGTTGGATCCCAAATCTCCCGCTCCGCGCGCCAGGCGTGAAGATGGATGGAGTCATACCCGCCCCCGGCCACGCCCTCCTGGAAAGAAAGGCGATGGATTGAAAGGTAACAACTTACAACATAGCTTGGTTCTAGCATCATAATAAGGAAGCCCTTTATTTAGAATAAGTTGGAAAGCAATGTTTAATTCATAATTATACGGGGAAAGTACGTAGCCCCGTATATTTCTTGCAAAGGCTTCTATGAGCCTTCTACGCACCGGATCCGGAGCCGGGTTAACAAGCCGATCCTCCCTTTCAAACTCAAGTTCAAGGGAGACATAAATGCGGCGGTGTGGGTTTGCCAGGGTTGTCTCCCTGAAGCGCCTTCATTTGTTGCCTGCATTTGGCCATTCGTCAAAACCCCGGTTACCCCCCAGTGAACATCCCAATCCAACCACTAAAATAGGTTCTAAAATGGGTGGTGCACCTATCCCAAAATGGTACCAAAACGGTTTTGAGCCATGGCCATTTGCCTTGATAACTTGAGAACCCCTTAAACAGGGAACCTATGGAAGTTTGTTGGGCAGGGGCACCAGCTCGGACGGCTGTACGGAGACTCTCAGCATTTTCCAGCGGTAAACGGGGGGCGCCTGGCGCCTTGTTGAAACACGTTTTTAGTCGTTGCGGGGTTGCGAAACCCCAATTCTCTGAGGGCCTGTAAATTGGCATCACATACGTGGAAATGCAACTTCCGCTGCCATGATGTTCGTTATCTTCCTGTCCAAGTTTTGACTCCCACCCGCAAAATCATGGTGAAGATGCCTTATCTGACAAGACTTACCTGACTTGGCGTTCGCCCCTGACCCTTGAAACTCTTGGGTTTGTAGGGCTGAGAAAGACCTAAAACCGTATTTCCCACCATGGGGACTGTGTGAAACAGACCCGCCCGCCCATCCTCAGAGTCGCCCCAACAAGCTTGAGCCCACCTTGAACAGTGGTTAAAACCGTGGGAGGCAAAAACCATGGGGGAGAAAAAAAAGACTGGCAGGGTGCTCCAACACCCCATTCCCGCAGCCCGCCAACACCTGCACTGCACGTTTTGTTGGGAGGCAACGGCCTAAAAACTCGAACAGGATCCACGGAACCATGAGGTGCAACTTCCTATGAAGTTCGGGGCCCAAGAGAGATCAGTGGCCTTGTATTTTGCTTGAAGTTGTGGGAAGAACTTCCTCGTGACACCAAGGCTTTGCTCCCTGCTAATGTGCTTCATAGCCGCTACAATTGTTTTCGTCCTTCTTTTTTCTGTGCGTATTGGATCCAAGCGACTGAAAAGTGGCTTAAGCAAAAAGACTTCGCGAGAAACCGGTCTGTCCTTGGTGTAGAAGGGCAGGCCCCCATCCTGCACGGTGGTGGGGCAATAGGCGCCCGAGAGCCAGTCCTCTCCAGACACCGCCAGGTGCAGACACGTGGTGTACCTCGCGATGCTTGCCCCGGAAAGCGGAAACCCGCTGACTCCACGGGAATAGGGGGGGAAAGTCTCTAAGAGGCACTGGAACCAGGTAGATCCAGGTACCAAGCAACATGGTTCCTACATGGCTAAGTTGCTGCGTTCTTTCCAGCCACACCAAAAACAGGCGCAGTTCCTAGGACCCAACCGTGAAGTTGCCTGAGTTGGCCAGAAGCGCATCAAGCCCTTTTAGCGTGTGGATCTTCTAGAAACCTACCCTACACAAAGCGATCACGGCCAACTAAGTTGCCAAATAGGTTCTTGGAGTATGCTTCTAGAAGGGGCTCCTTGCAGGATGCAGTTTGGGAGAAATGTGCAAATTCTACAATAATGTCAAAACCTGAAAGAGGAATGGGAGCCGCAAGTAAACGACCTGGATTCTTGTGAGCTCGTTTTACCTGAAATAGGCGGACATTGAAGGAGCACGTGCATCCACACCACGTGTCAACGCTAGGGCAGTCAACTTCATTCCCAACTCAAGAATCAGTGACCCTACACTGGGACATCAAAGATCCCAGGAGAGGGTGAGTCTTGATCAGCATTCCGGTGAGACCCAACAAGGAAAGAGAAACAAAATAGGAAAATACAAGAGACAAAAAAAGGAGACAAAGAGCCACGAAGAGATTCAAAAAGAGACGAAACAAAGAAAGAGAGCGAGAGAAAAACAATAACAAAAGATGCAGAACGCCATTTGCCATTTTCCCGCGGGCCTTGGCTGCTTGGTTGTTCCAGCTTGGAACTAACCGGGGGTTCCGATTTGAAGCCCCTTTGGTTGTACATTACATAGATTCCGTTCACACAAAGATGTTGCTCCCCTCAAAAAGAACATAAATAAAAAGGGAAAAGAGGTCAAAAATCCTAAGACAAGTCCACCACCTGTAAAATCTTCGGACAAAACGGCCGTGAAACCCACGATCTCAATGGCTCAAATCGCGGCCTGTGACCCCCAAATCGCGGCCCTTCCGCGCCTGCTGCATCCCAGGATCTTCACGTAGGTCACGGGCCCTGCACGTCGGGGGCAGAGTCATGGACATCACCAGCCAATGCGGCGACGTGACCATGACCCAACCAAAACCGGAAAGCAAAAACGGCCTTTTTTGGATTCCACATGTTTCTTCCCGCATTGGTCCTTCTTCTCTTTCAGATTTCAGAACAGGCGCGAATCCACAAAAGTCGCGGCCAATCCGATTTCCAGACTAGCCTCCCTCTTGTTTCCAACCAAGTGCAGCCCTTCATCTAGCGGTTTCACTGAAGTTTCGGGGGCAGCAATGGTTATCTGGCGCTCCTTCTGTCAAGTACTGGTCTCAGTATGTGTCAAACGAAGGGAACCAATTCAAATGGGTGGCTGCCGGAAACCATCCCTCCAAACCAGAGCCCATTTAGATCCTGCTACGAGGTCGACTGAGGCCTTGGCTGGCGGCCCAGCCTTGCCTGCCTATGGTCCCCCTTCGGCACCTCACAAGCCAACCCCACAAGCCACCCCCAGGTCAACGCGAAACGCTGCGTCAGAAATTGGAAAACCCCCAAAACGTCTGGCTTTCTGTTGGCCTCCACTTAAGCCAGCCCCAAAAAGGGTCCCCGAGAAACAAGCGTACCACACACCCAAACCCCAACTTTGCCTCCCCCCTCTCGCCTTGGCCACCCTTCCGGTAGCGCATGGACAGGCACTGCCCGGCTTCCTCGCTGTACGCGGCGCAGGTAGGCGATGTGCGACACCACTCCCGGCAGTTGCTCCCGCCCCCTGGCAAGTCTTTGCGAAGCGGTCAGGGTTCGGGGAATTTTCATTTGCTTAAGCCCCCTGGAAAAATAAAAATATGTCCAGTAGTGATCGATTCCTTTTAAAACTAACAGGGGAAAATAAAGGATATTCTTAAATACATGGAGGGGAATCCTGGGACCAACCCACTAAGTAGGTCATAGTCACAATTCCAACTAGGTTTATTGGGGTTGGTCCCTTTGTAGCCATTGTTGTAACGTACTAAGCAGGTTGAACATCCAACCAAGTCAGCTTGTGATCTTGCTGATTCTCAGGCAGGGAACGACCAGAATGACCCCGACAAGAACCGTCCCCTAGTTCCCTACAAGGTGATCCATGGCAAAAATGTTGCTGATTCCCTGCTAGTGAAAACCAAAATGGGAGGGGCCAAAACGAGCTTCCCCTAGAAGCGATGATTCTTGGGTTCCGCGCATACTCCTGGGGGAGCGCAATACCATCATTTAGGCTCACTTTTAAAGGCTGCTTGTAGGAGGCCATGTTCTGGTTGTGTCAACCGACTTGCCTAGGAATCCATCTGTGTCTCCATTTGAAGTACCACCACCCATACAAGACCATGCACTTAACGTGAGGTAAGGAACAAATACCCGTATTCCTCTCGGTTATCATGAGTTGATTTGGTTTTAAATGCCCCACAATCCCATTCACATCATGATACTAGTACCCCCACCTGGTTTTGATTGGATAGCAGAAAGCCATTCAATGCCGATCCTTTAAAAGGACAGTAACCCTACCCCACCAACACACGCACAAACAGCTTGCGCACGCACGCAAGCATGCACGCACGCACGCACGCAACAATCTTGTAAAAGGCCATTGCCTTCGCCTTGAATTTCTAGAGAAGGGGAGCCAAGCAATGTTTGTTTGTTTTTTGTTTTTTGTTTTGTTTTGTTTTTTCAGAGCTGCATTTGCCTTCAAATGCCACCGAGCATTGAATGAGCTTCACCCCAGTCAAGTTTGACCCCTCCGAAGCCAGGAATACAACGAGCCCTGAGACAGGATTACCACCGCTGGGCTTCGGATTCCGAACCTGGATGCTACCGGTGTGCCTTTGCGGCTCTCTGCTTGGTTTCGGGCAACCAAAAGGAAAACACTGTTTTGGGGGTCCACATACATCATTTGTTTGAGAAGTCTCACTAATGTATTGGAAAAAATGTTCGAGCTTGAACTCAGAATAAGCTGTAGGGCGGCGCCATGGCTTGGAAGGCAGAGCCATGGGCACATAGATCAAAGCCATGGCTTCAACCAAATTCTGAATGGGAAGCCACATTGGACATGATCAGACAACGGCAAAACGAGAAGAATCCCCGTAGCCATACACAAGAAAGGATCCTTCGACAGGAGGAAACCTGCTTTTGGAACACACATCGTTCTGACTTTGCAGGTTCAAACAACCTGGTCGCAGCGGTGACTGGCCAAGCAGAAGCTACGCCAAATGCTGACGCGAGCTGATTGAATTTAGAACAGTTGTAGCTCCCCTACTTGTCCCCGAGGACATGGGACAATGTGTGAGTCCTTGACATTGAGCGGGGTGTCTCAAATTCGCTGCTTCTTGGTACTCCAGCGAAACGGATGAAAACTCCCCTCAAGGCCCGGCCACGCGACGAGCCCGGCCTAGCCCGTGGGTCTCGAAGTGGCCGGTTTCAACCTGGCCCGTCTTCAAACACCAGGACTCGGCAAAATTCGACCGTCCCTCCATCACAGAGGTGGACAGAGGGCGTCCCCAGAAGGAAAGTAAACTCCCAACACCCTTCAGTCAGCTTCTTGCTGGAGGGAGGCTGCAATTCCAAGTTCTGCTTGCTGGTCTTGCAAAGACCCCCACAGGGCCCCACTTCAAAGCAAACAGAGCCGCGGCTGCGATGGCTGGCTCGGATGGGAACATTGGGTTGTCCACATGTGGGAAACTTGGGTCGTGTCCCTGTCCTCCCCAAACCAATTAGATTGTCAGTCACCCATCTGCACACCAGCTTGGAAAACGGAAAGCAGGGGGCTTCCAGCGCGCGCAGATTCTCAAAATTGCACTCTTTTTGATTGCTTGTTTGGGATATGTGCAGGTTGCTATCTTTTCTGCTGTTCCAAATGCATTTCTGGTCGTCTAAAAGACCAAAAAGCAACAAAACCACAAAAGCGAAAAAATTGAGAAGCATTCCTCAGTCACTTGTTCAGAAGTAGACTGCAGTCTGGCGTGCTATTTGTGCCAAAAAAAACTCTGTAAATACATCCCCCCGATATTTTAACCCTAACCTCTACGGACCAGAAGGTCGCTGTTCGTCATTTCAAAAAAAATCCAAGACCTGAAATCATTGACAGCAAACTACATTCAAGTCAGTGATACCCCCCAGTAAGAAAGGATGGATCCCCGAGTAGGAAAATAAGAAAACTGACAGCCATTATGGATCCCAAAACATTCATCATGGCTTTCGCTCGTTGTTTTCCCCCTTTCCGACAAAGCCGCTCAAGCGCCACTCGTAGAAACGAATCGCCCACCTTGGCCCAGCAAATGTCGTCGTAGGCATTCACCGTCAAAGTTGTCTCCAGGCGGCTCCCACCTCGAAGCCAAAAAATGAGATCATCGTCCGGGAACGAACGAAACGATCACCCTAGGACGAATCCCCCACCGAAACTCGGGGTGACAACCTCAAAAGACCCAAAAAAAAAAAAGCAAACCCCCCTGACCTTTCACCCTGGCTATAAGGGGAGTAAGCCTCGAGGGTACAAACCCCAGTTCCGCAAGCTATCATCTGGTTTTGGTCGATCATCCGAGTGCGCGGACCGTTGCAGAGGCCCCAGAGAGGCGTGTTGAAGCCGGGGGTGTCAAAATAAGTGCAACGGACTCTGAACTACCAGAAGATGAGCCCCTGCACCTTTGGGAGAAGCCGATTCCAGCAGGTTTGTTTCCCTGCATTGCCCCTCTAAACCTCACCCCACCAAGGAATGTGTGTGTTTTCAAGCCAGATGGGCAAAGAAAAAAACGGCTCTTTGAGCCATGGGCGGAAGAAGAAAACAAAAAGAAAACGGTTCTTTTCGCCGCCACCACCGGGAAGGGAAAGAAAAAAAGAAGAGACAAAGAAACCGCCGGGCCGGGGCAGGGGGGGCCGCGGAGCTTTCTTCCGCCGGAGTAAAACTGCACTCCGAGGCGCTGAAGCCCAGGAGCCCGTAGATCTTGCAGCTCAGCTGCTTGGAGCACCGGGCCTCCGACCCAAAAACGCCGCTTGGATCGATCCACCCGGGAGATGATCCATACAGGGATAAGGGATAGGGTTTCTGGATCTTCATATCTCATGGGAATCAAGAAAATGGGATCTGGAGATCTTCATGTCTGATCCACCCACTGCTGGGAGCAACGAAGGGAGAAATAGTCCATAGATCAGATCTGATCTGGGCATGGGACTTGGAAGGAGAAAAAAATAAAGATACTGGAGCCCTAAATTGGTAAGCCAGAATGTTACCCCCGGATGAATAGGCCCCAGTTGAATTTTGATCGCAAGGTGCCCGCGGATCACTTTGCACGGTTTCTACTTAGATCAGGGGCTCCTATTAATGGTCATGGAAAACTCCGGAAGCAATGGACTCAAAAAAGGATATGGACTCCTTTTTGTGGCTGCTTTTTGTTTGACTTCCCTTTAAATCCGGGTGACAAAGGGTAGTCCCAAAAAACACACTCCCAAATGGATGAGCCAAATCTGACCCACCTGTAATACGTACCTGTAAGGAAGGGAGCTTCAGTAAAGAGTACTAAACAACGGGTTACTTGCTTCCATTAACAGAGATTTGTGATAGGTTCACTTGCAACAAGCAAAGACTCAATCATAAACAAGGTTTGCTCTAGGTCCCAGTCATAAGGGTAGCAAGTTGGCCTCTGGAAAAGAAAAACCAAAGGACGCCTTCGACCGATTTCTGCGCAAAGAATCCTTTTCTGGCCCCACGGTGCTTCCATTTAGGTTGGTTTCGGAATTGTCGAACCCATTCGGTGACCCCTTCCTTCTTTCTGGATACCTGTAATTCTTCATCCATAATTTTTGTAAGTCCCCATCTCGCCCCCAATTTAAACCATCGACTAGTAGGTTTCACCAAAATGGGAAAGGGACCCCACTGCGCAAGCAAGCTTGAGCCGCGCAAGCGGCTTGCGGTCGCGCCTGGCCGGGGCAGTTGCTGAAGAGGAAGGGGCTCGGAGACCCCCCAAGGCGCCCAGACGTGGTGCCCAGCGTCAGCACGCGCTCCCCCCCCAGCAAAATGTCGCCGGTGAGGACATCGAAGGAGGAGCCAGACCTCCACCAAAGATCCACTGCGCGGAAGGGTACCCACTCACAATACCCACTTGTTTGAGGGCACGGTTGAAAGTCCGGGTCTTGGCAAATGTCTTTTTTATCGTCAGGGGTTGACATCATAGTCCAAAAAGAAGGCTATTTGGAGCAGGGCACGCTCAAATGAAGGGTACTCAAAGAGTACGGACAGGCTGACCGTTTTCAAGGGAAAGAATCGGCGCCAGGTGACCACATTCGTGCCGAAACCGTGCAGGCCCCGGTCAATAAGCCTTGGGCAAACAAATAAGGCCGAATCAGGCCGAATAAGTAACCACGGTTTGGTCGCTTGAAAAGATGGGGATATGGCATGTAGCCAGACAAGGAACGTGGCCGGCTTTCACGTGTTGTTTGCTGTTGATCGCACATGGGTGTTCAGTAGACAGGTAACCCAACATTCAGCCTAGGGCAACGTGCGCCAGACGCATCTGCCACGTGGCGTTGCAGCCTCCGTTATCAGTTCTGTGCAGGCGAACAGACAAAGCTATTGCCCGCGTGCAAAAAGTTTAACTGTTTGTGGCTTAGCAACAAACAACTCATTTCCCCCCCCCCCGAAAGAAAAAAACAGTTTAAGAGCGGCAGGACATGCATCTGCCGACACTCAATACACTGAATGCTGATGTTCGCTGCGGCGGATCGATGGCGCCGTAGATTAATGATGAGACAAGGGCCCAGAACTAGCATTGGCCAAAGATTGGTCAGGAGCCAGCAGAACGCCGCTGATCCCAAACAGTAGTACATTGTTCAGGAGAAAAACGAAGAAATTGCCAAACGGCACGTCAGCTTTGCCCGAAGCCGTGTTGGAGGCATTCGAGAAGCTACCAGGACTGCGCGACTGTTCACCCACATGAGCACATGTTGCTTGCCAATAGAATGGCGCCTTCGCAAAAGGCACAAAGTCCAGGAACTCAGACAGTGAAACTCCCAAAACCTAAAATTGGTGACACAGGTACGAGCTTCCAGCTTACCCCTCAGCTCGGGAACAAACCATAGTGTTCAAAAGACTGAGGGCCGATTCGGTTCACAGACCATGAGCTAAGCAAACATGCCGCTCCGATGGCCAAGCAAGCCTATCTCCAGCAGACTGAAAAAAATGCATGAATGCAATAGTCAAAAACAAATCGCCACTCCTCTGCAGATTGACAAAGACATCCCGTTTTGGTTTAGCCATATCCTTCACATAGAATTGTCCAATCCCCTCCCACCCAGGTTTACCTTTGGAAAAAGACATGCCCAACCATGCCAAAGGGGTCTACCCAAAACCATAAAGAGAGGTAGAAAGGGGCGGATCTCTGCCGCTATTCTTGGCTGGGCTTGTCCACAAACCTTCCCTTTATATAAGGCTCCAAAAAAGAGAATGGGCTTGGGTAGTTTGAAACTGCATTTAGGTGATTGATTTATACTTACAGGAGTTTTCTACTAGCAACAGTTGACTCCCTTGCAAATCAACATGGAAATGACAAACACAGGTGTTGCCCATTTAGGAGTTTCCTCTGAATATCACGGTTTGTTAGGGTAGACCCTTATTTTCCGCGGATTTTGATTGCCCAGCTCCCATTCGTTCCCCGCGGCTTCCAACGCATCCCAGGCGCCCGCAGTCAGCGACGTACCTCGCCGGCGGCACCGCCTTCGCATTGGGCGACTGGTCGTTGTTCCTGGAAAGGCCGAACACGCGCACTGACGAGCCGAGGGCAAAACTCAAAGCAAACAAAATTCAGCAACAAAGTGAAATATCCAAGAAGAAACGAAAAAGCAAAATGAATCAAAACACATATGCTGGAGAAAAAAGAAGAAGAAACAAAACGAAAGCACGAGCAAGACAAATGGCAACACAAATGAAACCAAAACAGACAAAACAAGCAGCCAACCGAAAACAAACTGCAAAGCAACAAAGGCAAAAAAAAAAAAAGGACAAACAAAAAAACATCGCAAACAAAGGCAAAACAAACAAAACAGCACGAAACCAAGGACAAAGGCAAAGCTGGCAAATAAAGAAACTAAGCTGCACGAGCCAGAAACACAACAACAACAACAACAACAACAAGCAAACAAGCAAACAAGCAAACAAGCAAACAAGCAAACAAGCAAACAAGCAAACAAGCAAACAAGCAAACAAGCAAACAAGCAAACAAGCAACAAGCAAACAAGCAAACAAGCAAACAAGCAAACAAGCAAACAAGCAAACAAGCAAACAAGCAAACAAGCAAACAAGCAAACAAGCAAACAAGCAAACAAGCAAACAAGCAAACAAGCAAACAAGCAAACAAGCAAACAAGCAAACAAGCAAACAAGCAAACAAGCAAACAAGCAAAAGCAAACAAGCAAACAAAGCAAGCAAACAAGCAAACAAGCAAACAAGCAAACAAGCAAACAAGCAAACAAGCAAACAAGCAAACAAGCAAACAAGCAAACAAGCAAACAAGCAAACAAGCAAACAAGCAAACAAGCAAACAAGCAAACAAGCAACAAGCAAACAAGCAAACAAGCAAACAAGCAAACAAGCAAACAAGCAAACAAGCAAACAAGCAAACAAGCAAACAAGCAAACAAGCAAACAAGCAAACAAGCAAACAAGCAAACAAGCAAACAAGCAAACAAGCAAACAAGCAAACAAGCAAACAAGCAAACAAGCAAACAAGCAAACAGACAAACAGACAAACAGACAAACAGACAAACAGACAAACAGACAAACAGACAAACAGACAAACAGACAAACTAACAAACAAACGACGGCACACACTTCTCGGATCTCCGGATGGTGGGGCCAACCGTTTGGAGCTTCAATTAATGCTTGGATTGGCGTTGCTCCAGGGGGACACTACAGAAAGTGATCCTTTTCTGTGATACCAAAGCGGTCCATCTCTATGACATGCATCACAAAGGGTGGTATGGCAGAAAGTGCCCTGGTAGCCCGGGCCAAATGGGTCTGCCTCTAAATAGAGCAACCCGGGAAGCATCATCGACTTCACCAGCGAACCCAATACCCGGTTTCTTCCCTTGTTCTTTGTTCATCTTGTCACTTCCTCAGCGGATTGGCCAAAACAAGTCCAACTGTTTTACCACTACACTAGTCTTCCCACAAAGTGCCTAATGGGAAGTGAGTCAATTAGAGGCTGCGGAGCAACCAAAGCGCAAAAAACAGATCCCCGATCCGAAACCAGATCTCTCCTTGCGCCAACCTTGGGAGCGTCCCCATTCACAGTGACCTGCCGGCGGGCAGTGTCAGATGGCTCATCCTGTCTCATGGTTCTTCAAATGGGTCAACCCCATGTGTCAAAATACGGAGACCCTAAAACATAGTGAGTTTTCCTTGTGGTGTCCCTCTAACTGTTGTTCAAACGATCTCCTCAACGCCAGGGTGGAAATGGTTTCCCATGAGTTTGTCGCTTAAAATCGGATTATGTTGGTATCACAGAAAGTAGCGACCTAAAACGCAGCTGCCCTCGACGATGACTCTCACAGCCTGCTTCCTTCGTGGACGTCTATGGAAACAAAGCTAGCCGATACATTGTATCTATGATATGTGTACAATGTACATTTACATGGGCGACTTAGTGTAAATCAAAAGCCTCAAATAGGAAAATCACAAGCAAGGCTCGTTTTAGCCGGTGACCATATTCGGATAAAATTAATATAGAGATATGTGTCGGTCTGAATGAAATGTGGCAGCTCATCTGTCCGTATTTCATTGTTCATCAAATTAGGCGCATTGGGTTCCGCGGGGGGGGGGGGGGGTTCTTTTGGGAGGGGTTGGTTTATAAGGCACTTTTCGATTCTCACCATCTAAGGAGAACTCATGGGGTAGGCCATTCCCAAGTAGAAATGAAATACAAGGGGCCCGCACATGTGACTCCTTGCATGGCATTCGTCACATTTCATTGATTGGTTCCTTAGTGTTGAATCCAATAAGATAGTCCAATAAGATAGCGTTCCAAAACTTGGCATGGGAAAATTGGTGAGCCCCGCTGGATTTGGTCTCGGGTCCGGTTGGGAATTCTTTCCCGAGAACTTGAATGGCTGTGAACGAAAGATCTCAGCCTTCTCGCAGGCTTTTGACCCCAGGGTCCAAGAAGATCGAAAAATGCAAAAGAGGAGGAACCAAAGCCTACGGGCTGAAACCAACCATCGCCTTACACGGGCTACCAAGATGATGTTGAAACCCTTTTTGCGGCCCAACTCCACCCCCCCCCCCGCCCTCCTGCCCCAAAGCGGTCTCCCCGCCTCCACGCCGCTCACCGCCACGCCGGGCTGGGAGTCGTCGGAGAGGCGCATGGAGCCCCACTCGATCGACTTGAAGGCCACCACCTGAAACTCGCTCGACGTGCCACGCGCAGCATTCGGCGGATCCGCTGGTGGTATTTCTCAGCTTCCCTCGTTTGGTTTGGTTTAAAACGAATCGGTGATGCTTGGGGTCGGTTTCCCATGAGATCCCTCTACAAAAGCCAGGGACCCTTTCAAATCCGGGGTTGAGGAGGAAAATCGGGGGTTTGGGCTCGGTTTCCCATGAGATCCCTCTACAAAAGCCAGGGACCCTTTCAAATCCGGTGGTTGAGGAGGAAAATCGGGGGTTTGGGCTTGGTTTCCCATGAGATCCCTCTACAAAGTGGTTAAGGAGGGCAATCGGAGGTTTGGGTTCAGTTTCCCATGAGATCCCTCTACAAAAGACAGGGACCCGTTCAAATCTGGTGGTTAAGGAGGGAAATCGGTGGTTTGGGTTCGGTGTTCCGGAGAAAACTGTCCCATCCCTCTACAAGAGCCAGGGACCCGTTCGAATCCCAAACCACCAATCCAAGCCAACTTAGGGTTGCCTGAATTTAGGGAGATCTACAGGCATCTACGTTGCCCCTAGTTGGTGGCTTCTTGCAAGTCCCCAACCAGAACTCCTTGGTAGCTCGGAAAGGCTCCCGCGTTCAAAGCAAATTTGGATTTAAGGGCTTACGCCTGACAGCCGGGCTCCACGAAAAGCATCAGTTTTCCACGTGTTGTCATGATTTTCGCAACCACGCGGCCTTGAACCCATACAAAACCAGCAAAAACACTTGGTGTTTCCACTGTTCACCAAAAACGCTGCCAGAAATCGGGCTCGGCCGGGGAGAGTTGAGCCTGCCTGCTAAGCAGGTTTCCACATTTTCCACGTTTGCGCCCGGCCTTGAATCCATACAAAACTATCGAAAACACAGTGTTTTTGTGTGGTTCACCGAAAATCCTGCCAAAAATCGAGTTCGGCCGGGACGCCTGCCTGCTAAGCAAATTTCCATATTTTCCACGTTTGCGCCCGCCAAAAACCTTAAAAAAAACCCTGTGTTTTCCACGTTTTCCACAAAATTGGCCCGACTTAGGGGACAACATCCCCAGCATCCCCCGCATCACCGGCATTATCCGCATCAATGTTCGCCAGGGATGCGGATGATGCAGGTGATATGCTCAGCAAGTCATTAAAAATCGCCTGAACAAATCCACAAATCCTTCGCCCCTTAGCAGTGATCCTTCGCCCCTTAGCAGTGAAGGCGCAGCCTATCCCGGCTCAGCACCCTAACCACCGACCCCAAAGACCCTCTTTCCCTACTTGCCATGGCCTTGACAAGTCAGGTCCTACATGTGGGTTTGGGTCAAAATTCAACCACCAGGATATGGACCGCAGGTTTTGGTCCATATTTCCACTTACTAGGCTTCCATTTGGAACAATAATGTTCAAGTGTGTTATGAATCATGTTATAATTAGCTAATTGGAGTGTGAGCTGAAATTGGTATTAAATATGAGTTAAATTATAGATCCACCAAAATGAACTAGCTATTAAACTGAAATACAATGAAAATATAGACTTTAAAATAAGTTCCAAAAACAATGGCGAACGGAATTCACGCGCATGGCAGAGCAAGTGCTCTTGTTCGGGTTGGTTTAGGGGCTCCCCCCCACTCCGACGGCAGCGCCCGCGCACCTTGATGCTGTGGCTGAGGGTGGCGTTGATCGTACCCGTCACCTGCTTCTGGCACTAGCCGAGCCGTTGCTCAGGTGCTCCAAAGACCCTAAGGACAGAAACTGGAACCTTAGGACCTAAAGCCAACCAAACTAGGCTCATCTCCTTATGTTTGGGCCCTTGAAAGGCTCCGAATGTGATCAGAACTCCACTTCGCCATGGTCATGGCCGGCGGCGAAATCGGTGAGGCGCCTCGCAGGAGGCCGCATAGGGCACCCCCCAGCCGTCCTGCCAGGTCACCGTATTGGAAGCCCGGAGACTACTGGCTACAGCACCACACCTGGCCGTCCCCAAGAAATGGCTGTGGGTCAAACCCCTGTACCCCTGGTGAACATCAAATAGGTGGCAAATGGATGTTCATCTGCCCCAAAATGGAGCCATAGGTTATGCCCCATGGCCAAATAACCCTAAAAAATACTTGCAAAAACAAACGCCAGCCCAAGGTCACCTCAGTCCCCTAGCTAGATTGAGGCGCCTTCAGTCCAAGAACAGCAGCCCAAGTCACCCCCTAACCTCCAGCCAGGTTTCAACTTTCACCAACACCCTGCGGCCAGCTTCCCTAGCATTTGAGCCCGTCATGCCCAGAAACCATTCCAGCCACCTCGTTGTCCGGCCGCCGCTCAAGCTCAATCGCCTGACAATCACTTCGCGCCCACACTGCTCCAGCCTAGCCCCAGCATCAGAACTGCTCAAGCCTGATTAGGGAAGCACCGACTGACCAGGCCTTGCTTTACATGAGACTTGCCGCCAAAGGACATCAACAACTTGCCAATTCCGTGGCAAGTTATTTCCCAAGGCTGCGGGTCCTTGTAGAGCGCCCCGTTGGTCCGGATCTTCAGCCAGGGCGCGTCCGGGGTGCACTTCACGGCCCAGGACGCGTAGCCTATCAAAACTCCGCTCATCCCAAATCCTTTTGGGAGGAAAAGGGGCGCGCGGTGCTGGTTGTATTTCGTGTAAGCTGCTCTTTTCAATTTCGTCTGCTCCTTCTTCTTCTTTTCGGAACCCTTCCTTCGGAAGGTCCTACACGAACCAAGGGGTTTTTTGGCCCAAAGCTTCTGGCCACCCGGTGGCCTTTCCCCCCAGGCTTCAACCCCTTTGATGCCAATCCGAGAATCAGATGATGAAACGATGGTTCTGTCCACCATAGTTACATTGGGCTCCGCAAAAACATGCACCATGGTTCAATTGGGGAACCTGTGGCTCAAGGGGCACAGTGGTTCCCCAATTTAAAACATGGTTCAATTGGGTCAGAATCTGTCCAGGCCGGGCGGTGAAGGGAGGGAACGCCTCTGGAGCGAACATGGTGGTGGGCGGGGGTGAAAGCAGGGCGGAGGTGAAAGCAGGGCGGGGGTGAAAGCAGGGCTCCGGTGTTTGTTTCTTTGGAATCACATGTTTTGAAATCATTCCTGGGGGGCCAGGTTGATGTTTGAAGGCGGAAAGGGCTTCGAAGGCGGAAAGGGCTGCAATCGGAAAGGGCTTCAACTTGAATAAATGCAAAAATCCATAGGGAGTCATTTGGACAAGGAAGCATGCGTACCATATCTCGGAGGAAGGATTTAATTGGGACCGTGGGGCCTTTTCGAAAAGAGTCCAGCATTGGAGCCCCCCCTTTTGACGATGAAACAAAAACCCTTGAAAACTCGTCTTTACAAATACATATTTCGTCCCATGGAAAAACGAGGAAAATATGTCCAGTCATGACTCCCTTTGAAACCAACAGGAAAGTACAATATTATTTCGGATCCCCAGGAATTTGGCTCAGGCTTTTCAACCCGTAACAGTCAGGGTCCCTGTCTAAACAAATCGGGGCGATGAGTCTCCCTTGCTTTACGGATGAGCGAAACAGACTTTGTGCAAATACCAAAGGAATCAAGTCTCTGGTGAAAGCAAACCAGACTCAGGACTCCTGCACGAGAAGTACATGGAATCCGGCGCATGAGGCCAGTCTGCAAACCACTGACATGTGAGTTCGCACCGCTAACATGTGAGTCCGCTCTTAACATTGGAAGCTGTCATTAGACCGCTAGGGCTTGACAAGCCTCAAGGCACGTAAACATGTTTGGACCCCCGGAACAAACCCAAAAGGTTGGGGCTCAACCAACTTGCAGCATGAATCCATATGAGGGTTGCGGGAATCGTCTGAGTGTCTGGGGAACTCGTAGCCTTTGAGGTTGGCACTCGGAAACAAAGGCAAGCCAACCATTTGTAGGGGGTCCTATCTCGGAAACTCTCAGCCCTTCAAGCATTCAAATAACCCCTATTGCAGAAATGTGTTCCTCAAAATCCCTCGTTCGAGATTCGTGTTGAAATTGGGACGTCCATCCCGATGCCCAGGATACACAGAAAGAAGCGGGACCACCCAGTGCCCTCTCTCCCCGTCCCTTTCCCCCCCCTGCAACCCAAAGCTAATCCAGCTTGCCAACGGGTCCGATAGGCAAGGTTTCCTTTCATGGCAACCCAGGATTGTCGATTCAGATTCGGTGTCCCAGGAGTCCTTTTGGGGAGAATCAATGGACTCCAATGGCAAGTGAAAAATAGAACCAAACTGAAACCAGACTCTCCTCTGTGTTATTACCAAACTGACCGAAAAGACTTTCTATGTTTATCGGTCGCGAAACACATGTAGTCAAGAACACCTGTAGTCAAGAGCATCAGCAATCCCCGTGTTTTGGGGTTGTTTTAAAGCGAGACCAAAAGGAAAACCGCCCGATGTTGTGGGGTCCAACTCCCTAAGTTGAGACATGCCCAAAGTTGCAGCCCCATATCCCCAGCCTTCCTGCAAATGCCACGCGTCCCGTTCTCACCCCGTCCCTTTGGCGCATTTTTCTTTTGGCGGCCGTGTGGCTGGTGGTACCTGTGGAGACCGCCTTGTCCCCAGGCGCCGGGAAGTCCAAGGCCCTTTTGCCGTAGGTGAAGGGCACCTCAGGCGGGGAGTACCCCAGACCCGCCGGGGCCAAACCTCCCGTGGCCTGAGCCAAGAAAGGCATGGCGCATGGCACATGATATGAAGCCCCGGGTTCAAGGGCATGGGAAAGCGGCCAAAGGGGTCCAGAAAAGCCATGGTCGCGTTGGTTCTAAAATTCCTCCGGATTCCCCCTTGAAAGGTTCTTTTCAGAGTGCTGTTTAGTACCTACAGCAGCATGCAAAATACAGCCTCGAAAAGTGGTCTACCCTTTTGACCATGGCAAACCGAAGGTCAGTTTTCAGCTTTCCTGAAATTGATTTGGATTGGTGGTTTGGAGAGTTGGTTTCTCATTGCCATCTACAAGAACCAGGGGTTTTGATCCCGCCCCTAATACAAACCACCAAGGGGTTTCACTACCCTCAAACCGCTAACTCCTGCAGTTTCAATGAATATGTATTATGCTGTTGGTACTCAAATGTTATTAAATTTTAGACAGCCTCAAAACGAGTGTCTTTTTCTAGGGACCCCCCCCCCCACCAAAAACAAAATCGTCGCTTTTGGTGTTCCAGAAAAACCACACAAGGTACCCTCAAGAACAGACCGGCCCGAATACACCAGCATTTTGGTGCCACTACCCTCAAACTTCCCCGGTGGAATAGGGGTATTTGGCAGGGGTTCTCCCACCAATCCAAACCCCTTCAAACCTCCGCCTGGCGGGTTGAGAGAAGGGGTATTTACCCCCCCACCCCCACCAACCATGTCCCATTTCCCCTGAGATCCCCTAAGGGTAGATGTTGGAAAGGAGAGTCCTCATAGGACAAAACCAAAACAGACCCCCCCCCCCCCCCGCCCCCACGGCCGCCAGGTTTTCAACGGTTTCCCCGGTTTCCCCACGGCTTCTCCCCACGTCTCGCTCAAAACGCCCAGGCGCAAAGTCCAGTACCAGACTCGCGTTGAACTCCAGCCCAGAGCCTACGGGTAGCCACTCACAAGTGCCAAGAAACGGGTCCTGAGAAACGGGAACCTGACTGGAGGCCTGGAAAGGCCTGTTCTTCAGGACCCAAAAAAGAGTGGGTTCCATTGTGGTCGTCTAGCACAAAGGTAGTCGAAGTGAAGCAAATCACCTAGTTGGTTCAGGGTCCGTTCCCATTTGAGGGAAATCCCACGAAAACAGCCGAAGTATCCGGAAGGGCTAGTAATGGGGTGGCTCCTTTGCTGCCCTACTGCCTTTCTGCATTGATTATCGGGGTTGCTAGGACCCCGAGATCGGATAAGCACAACCAAACAGAACCAACCCCAAAAGTGGAGTTGCGGCTCCTTTTGCAGAAACCCAAGCTAGGCCACGTGTCAGACATCCCAAGTCAAAGAACCTCGAAAGGATCTGTCCTTTCGCCGAGTGGCCATGGGCTTTTCAAAATCCAACTCGGTTAGCCCCCAGTGAACATCCCAATCCCAACATAGGTTCTAAAATGGGTGGTGCACCTACTTCAAAATGGTATCCCATTGGTTTTGACCCACAGCCATGTTTGGACGTTCGTTTGATGGTCCAACTGACTTCATCTTTGCCCAAGGGATTGCGAAGGTTGTCTCAACCCTCCAAGCCGGCCTCCCCTGCGGAAGATCCCAATGTTTCTTTGACCTTTCGACCTCCATGGATTGTCCACGGAAGAAACAAAATGGTAGTCTATGGTCCCCTGTGACTTGCAACCCCCGATCCAAATGAACGGATCTATTCATCTGGGTTGCTGTTTCCTCTCTTCATCCAGGATGCCCTTTGCCCAATTTCAACGGACGGGGGGGTCCTTGATGTAGAGGAACACCCAAACACCAACAGGGGAAGTTTGGTTTCCTCTGGCTTCCCCTCGGGGTTGTGAAATTACTCAACAAGGCTTTTGGCAATGGGAACTTGGCTGTTCTTTGCAGCACGGGCAGGACCAAAACAGGCAACACAAAAAGAGACCACAAGCAGTGAAAAGCACTAAGTTGAATGACCTACTCTTGAGTCATACTCAAAATCCGGTATCAAAGGGGCCGATCCGAAATCGGGGTCAAAAACATAAGAAGTTGGGACTGTGCCCTACTAACTTACAACTACCATGGTTTTATGATACATCCCCCCCCCACCCCAAAGACCCTACCAACGGGACACTCACTGGGCGAAATACAATCAAATGGCTGTGGGTCAAAAATAGGTACCCAAAACGCTGGTAAATGGAACCAAGGACTAAAACCTGCGGTCCATATCCTGGTGCTTTCATTTTGACCCATACCCAAATCAGCGAGGGACCCTACCAACCCCCGCACAAAAACACAAACCGAGGGATCTGCCACGCCCGCGCCTTCCTTGGCGGTGATTTGGCACTCCACCTGCCACGGCGTTCGGAACGAAACCGATTTAAACCGGTCCACTGGAGTCACCTCGCCAAAACCTGGTCAGGCAAATCCAAACCAATGCAAAGAAAATAGGCAAACATGCAGCGCATTGGGACTGTCCCTTACTATCCTGAAAATCTACCCGGGTTTTGCTTGTGGCTCAGGTTGAAGGCACACTTAGGCTGGGCAGCGCAAGCAGGCTCTTTGACTTGCTTCTCAGAAAGGAATCGCCTTGAGTCCTTGAGTTGAGGTCTTGGAAAGCACACTCAAGGGAGAAGAGGTCAGTAGGGCATATGCCTCAACGCGCCATTGCTTGCCCCAACCCCCACACCTCCCCTCCCCAACCTCCCCAACCTCCCCAACCCAACCTCTCCTTGCCTGGGTGGCTTCACTGGCGGTGCCCGTCACCGCGCCGGTGCGCGCATCCAGGTGCAGCCCCAAACCTCATGGCTCCGAATTGGGGCCACAGCTCCGCCGCTCCGCCCCGCGCCGAAACGCCCCAAGTCACAACTCCCAATATGTCGCTTAGCATAGGACCGTGCCTGATCGTGCCGGTGCGCTCTGACAATGAATGCGTTTGTTTCTGGTCGTTCTAGTAAGGGTGCACGTTAGCAACATGTTAGCGAAAATGAACCTGCGGGGTAAGCTCTTTCTGGCTTTTCCGGTATCATAATTTGAGTTGAGGGCAAGGATGAGCTACCGTGTGAAAATTGCGTTATCCGACAGGGATACTATTGTATGTTCATTGCAGGTACAAGCCAAACGTTGACTTGGCAATGTTTATTGGAGACCCTATGGTGCAATAAGCATATGGGGGGGGGTTCTCATCATGATAACCCCAAAAAGGGTTTAAATAAGGAAACATCTGACCCCGGTCATGCCCACCTCTTGTTGTTGAACCACGAAGCGGCCATTATTTTTTGTGGGATTTCCCAAAGCGGTCCTCAAAATGGTCGGCCTCCTTCTGATTTCCCCTGAAATGGCCGGAAAATGGGTATCCATCCTGGGACCCGAAGAACTAAAACCTGCGGTCCATATCCTGGTGCTTTAGTTTTGACCCATACCCAAATGGCCCAAATACCCACCACGGGCATCTCAACCCATGGGGAGCCGAGAAGCTGTGCAGCGCGCAGCCGGGGTCCGCCACGTACTCCACAGCCGTGCGGGGTTGCGGCAGCTCCTGGAAACTACGCCTGCATCGTGTGCTTCTTACGGGTCTCAACCTCCCACTTTGTCGCACTTGTCTGGGCCCCATCCCCCCCCCATTTGGCCATGGGTCATAACCTATGAATCCATTTTGGGGCGGATGAACACCCATGTACCACCTATTTTGATGTCCTTGGTTTTGACCCACAGCCATTTCGCGCGACCCACGTGCGGAACGACTCCTGGATGGCTTGGCCCACCAGCAGGGACTTCCCGGAGGCCGGGTACTTGAAGGGCGTGGGCATGCGCGTGCCGCCGCCGCACGCGCAGCAGGCCTCGAGAAACATCTAAGAGACATCGGAGAGGCGAAGTTGTTCTACGTGCGTCACCCTTGGATCGCCCAGATCCCTCGAGTTACGCGAGCTATGGAGTGGGGATCACCAGAACCCCACCCGAAGACCCGAATGCTTAATGCTTGAGGCAGGGCAAAAGTTTCCCAAATTGATCAAGTGGTGCTTCTTTTACAGCTCCAAACAGAAGTCAAATTGGAAATTCGGGACATTTGCAGAACCCAACCCTTCGAAATAGGCCCAACCCCCAAGCTTTCAGCAGTTTCAGCTGTTGGGGAACAAGTAAAACCCCTCAACCTAGGGGTCCGCCATAACCTAAAAAAAAACTCCCCAAACGCTTCACGAGCTACAAGTTCGTCAAGGCCAAACGGATTGGGCCAAGAGACCTGAGAAGGCACCACAAAAGAACACTCCCAAAAAACAAAAAAAGCTCGTTCAGGTGGCCTTCTCGAGCCCTAGCAACTTGATTTGGTCCTTGAGGTTCCATAAAAACGGAGGAAAAAGGGCGCGTACCATGGTTGCAAGTAAACCAGCCAAACCATGGATAGAATCCCGACTGAGGGGAGGTCCAACTTCCTTGCTCCATGACAGGCTAGCAGGGACCCCTGTTGATATGTCGGCGGGTTTGTCTCCAGCTGCCCTCCTGAATGGGTGGGTTCCTGGTGGGATTCCAGCAGGGTACCCTGCAAAAAGATCTCAAAGACCTCCTCTTGTCAACCTATCAGGTTTCCATGACCCCAACTACCAGCACCTCAGGGGAAAATGGGTGTATAGAGACCGAAGCTGTGTACTCCATTTTCCCCGCCCCAGCAATCAGTTTGGGGGGTTGACTCTACATGTCTGGGACTCCAAGTGGCCGGTGATGCCCCCCTCGCGGACGAAAAAGAGACTCGAAGCAAGACTTGGGTCGGGTTCACCACTTCAGTCTGGGCCGTCCACGTGCCACGCCCCACGCGCGCACACTGAGCGCCTCGGTGGGAGAGGCGCCGTGGTAGGTGAACTCCGCCATGGTGGCCTGGCTGCTGGGGGTGTCCTGCGTCGGTCTCAGGGACACGGGACACGTGGGCCGTCAGAGTTGGGGGTGACACGCCTAAAGACCAGCCAAAGTTAGAGGGTTAACAAAAAAGTTAAGCGCCAGCCTATCCACAAGCATGGAACCTCAATGGTGGTTCAGGACGAGGATCTTTTCAAAGAGACCCGCTGGTGAGTTCCATGTTAGTGGACTGGAGGGTAGGGGGTCGATAAGCCTAAGTTGCCAACATCCAGAAATTCCAAATAAGGCAACCCTTAAATAGGTCGCGTCTTTGGGGGGACTCGAACAGAAAGTTCGAATTTCAGATCAAACCTTTCTTTTTGGGTAGGAGGGTCCCCAAGTCCTAATGTCTGTCCACGGACATCATGAGACCCAAGAAGAGGGGTTGCGGCGAGGGCCAGGCCAGAAATTTTGTGCTTCATCTGTGGGTGTCCTTTTTTGTGAGCATGTCTTTCTTCCCAAGGGCTTGGTCGTTGAAAATCCTTATCGCGTCAACAGATAGAACATCTGGGCACATTGACTTTGGGTTCGGTCAACTCTTAAAGGGCGCTGGTCTTTGGAGTTCCGATTCGGGTCGCCGACATAATGTGGCGAGGCCATTGGAAGACTACTTCCGCCCCAATGGTTTATTTCGCCGCATCGCTCGTTGGAAATGCGCCCAGATAGGAAGGGTTTGAAGAGGCCAATATTCTAAAACACATGCTCCTCAAAAGATCCCAACCGTTCAGGCCGATAATGATTGTAATTTACTCCGCTTTACTAAGGTGAAGCTAGGCCCCAAACCCTTTACGAGGTCTTTGGGGATGGTTTGTTGGGTGAGACGCATGGATTCGAACAAATGCGCTCCTTTCGTGATGCTGCACGAGCGATCGGAACCGTTTGCTAGAACCCGTCAAACCGGGTCCCCCAATGGGTCTTGGGTCTGTCCTGCTGCCACTTTGTGCTCACTGGCGCACCACCTGAGAGACTGACTGAGCCCGGGGCGTGGAAACCAAAAGGGCAGCCCAGAAATGGAAGCCAACCCAAACCAGAAAGCCAAAATGAATCCTGTTTCTGTGTGGGTTTGTCTTCATAGGCCCCCAACATGGTGGTCTTGCTGGCTTTCCCTTTAAGATCACCCCGGACACATATCCACTGCTGCAAAGATTCAAGACTCTTTGGGGATTTGGCTGGCCTTTGGGCGATCTTTCTCGGAACTAAAGGAAGCAGAAATGGTGGACAAACTACTGACCAGGGACCCCATAAACCACCTCTTCTCAGTGGTCCAGGGCTTGAAAAACATACGAGGCCGGCGGCCAAGCAAACCAAGAATCAAGCAAAATGAGTATTGGCGGGCCTGAACAGTTGGGAAGGTGCCTTTTAAGAAGCGAGGGAATTCCCTTGTCTTACAGGGAAACCCACGGGGAAAGGGAACCTCTTTTGAGGGACTTGACCGGTAGGTTGTTTGTTTTAAAGGGAAACGACTGGAAACTTGCAAGCTGATCTTCAAACCATCCGCAAAGGGAACATGGGGTTGATCGAATGGTCCAGAAAACAACCATTGGGCAAAAGCATCTTTAAACCGACATCAGGGGGTCAGGTTTCGACAAGAGGCCCGTGCACCACCCGTTGCTCTCGTACATCGCGCAGGAGCGGTGCAAGGGGTCCATGAAGCCCTGACCACACCGGGTTGACTTCGAACCCGCTCAGCCGGTTCCTTCCCGATGGGATGGGCTTGTGGGTCCATGTTACTCAATAGTCTTTCGGAAAACGTTGGGGGTAGCATCCCCATTTCCAGAGATCTTTCTCTCAAGACCGTCACAAACAAAACAGGGAAACTGCTTGTTTTTGAAAACAGCGATGGCTGAAGAGAATGGACCCGGACAGCCAAAAAGGAATCTAGGCATGGCTGGTCTTTGTGACCGAATCGCCACATATAAGGATTTGTTGGTGTCACCGATGGTTTTTGCATAAGGTTGGACCAACAAGGGCCCTGGTGACCTTTGATTCGTTGACCTCGCGCCAAAAAATGGAGTGACGTTAGACAAGGGAGCGGACCCCACTCTGTTCTTGTTGAAGGGTAAACCCAGCACAAGGCTCGGGAAAGAAACAACTGCGTACCACCAAATGACTAGGCAACTCATCACAAAAGGTCCTTTGAAATCGGACAAAACCTCAGCCATGAAGTCTTTTGAGGGTGCGCCCCAGAAAAAAACCGAGGTGAAAGCACTCGCTTTGTGAGTTCCCCAACTTGAAGACAAACCGGTAGAATCAACTTTGCGTGCCCACTAGCCCGCTAGCCATGGTAGCAAAGGAAGTTTACACATCTGGGTGTCGTTTTGGAGTTGGTGCCCGTTCTGGGTGGCTTCAAAGGGAAACCAAAAAGACAACCACCACGCTGAAGTCACTCCTATCTGGGGTCAACATCAGCGGTTGTGTCCCTCAATAGCACGACCCTCGTTGAGCTAGTCCGCGCCAGATCAGGAATCCACCCCTGCGAATCTCCGACATTCAAACAACACAGACCAAAAGATTCTGTGCCAAAACTAAAGCCTCCTATGTTTGTCAAAGGCCGCCCAATGTCGACGACCCCAGATTGGCCTTACGGATGAATGACCGGGTTGTCCTCCAAACGTGTTTCGGTTTCCCCGCAGAACGGGTCACCCCCTCATCAGAATCAAACATTTATTCATGATCAAACCCCCAAACCACCCAACAACAAAAAAGTTGGAAACAAGGGAGGGCCTCACTAGGCTCCATGTGGCGTCCATATCTCCTAATGGGGGCTTGGGAGCGGTGATGCCACTTGCCGCCGAACCGACAAAGCGACCAAAGAAAAGCAGCAGAACGGAGCGCCCCGCACCTCGAGGTTGATGCAGGCAAGGCACTTGCCTGGGAAATGCACAGGCTTTCGCAGCCTTGCCCCCCTAAGGAACCGCCCAAGAACTGTGTATGAATCTCAATAGGGAACCGTTTGGAGGACATCATTTTGCTTGGGTTTCATGTCAAGCGGGGAGAGTGCTCCATTCCCAAAGATTCATAGCCATTTGTGTTTAAGGTTCCTCGGGGTTAAAGGCCCTCTTAAGGTTCCGGGATAGGTTCTTTCTCCAACCCACGACCTAGTCAAAGGCCTTCTTTGGGGGGTTTGGAGTCCAAGGACACGGCAAACCAAAACCTCACTCCTCAGGACGTACATGGAACCAATCTCCTTTTGGGAATTGGACGTCTGTGGGTTCCTTCGCTTAGGAATAGAGTGGATGTCGAAGCACCAGTTGACTCCAAGCCGGGCTGGCCAGGGGTCAGCCAGTATTCCTTTGAAACCACACAAAATGGGGTCCTAGAAAAAGACAGTTTGTAGTAGATCTTTCGGTTTGTGTTTGACTTCCAAGGTCCAAAATTTCAAGAGCTAACGTGTCCAAGCGTTTCAGAACATGCGCCTGTGTGTTGTTGAGGCAACCCTTTTCACCGTGGTCCAATGGGAAACCACCAGTTTTGGGGTCCCCCCATGTCGACTCACGTCGTCTTAGGCCAAGCCCTGGTTAAGCTGGGCACCTATCCCCAAAAGAACATTTCGAGAACATCCACTTTGTTTGAGGGTACCCCGGTTTTGGATGGTGTGAAAAGGAGACGAAACCACCCATTCTGGGGTTCCCTATTTTGAGACAAACCCATTTGCAAGGGGATCCTTGAAAACAACTGGCAAGTGCGAGTTTCCATATGGCAACCATTTATCCGCTTCGCGACCCTAAAAGAGTTGCCTCTAGAACCTCAGAATGGACCTTCCTTTTGGTCCAACTGACTTCCCGGATATTCCCTTTAAGGGACGGAACCATCCTCTCTCCCCCCACTCCCGAAAGCAATTTTCGGAGCCTCTCAAAATGCCTCTCCACCCTCTTGGCCCTTACGTTGGGGCATCCCCTAGATGCCGCGCTTTCTTGGCTTCTGGGGTTGGGGCTTGAGGGTGTGGAACAGGGCTCTCTATCAAGGAACCTCACTCCATATCGGCAGCCGAAAAGGCCTGGATC